TGTCTCGTGACAAGGGACACAAGTATAGCAATATAATTGCACCCTTACTAAAAGGTGTTGGAGAAGGTATGCCGTGTATCGTGACGCTAAACAAGATCGATTATGTTCATTGAGACGATCCCAACGAGCTTGTAGATCGTTTTCGATTGCTTGAGGCCTCTCGCCAAGCGGGTCACAATGATCACGATAACGAAATCATGTCGATCATCGAAGAACTCCGCGAGGCTGGACTTATTATAAATTAAACTGCGTGTGAGTGATTCAACCAATTGACAACGAAATGCCGATCAACAAGTTTGGAATATCGCTCGGAAGAAGCGGAACGGATCCGTACTATCAATATAGCGGATTAATTAGAAACTACGTTCGCGATAACGCTCTTTGTGTGGTCGCGACAGATTTTGATGCAAAGTCACGCAAGATTCGACGCATAGCATTGCCTGTAGATGATGACGATGCTGTCAACAAACGGTACGTTCAACAGAACATGCAAATTTTGAAAGATCGACAGGATGAGATGGAGAGGAAGATAGTAACGCACCAATATAGCATGCAGAATATGATAAACGAACTTCACGAAATGATTCAGCGTATGACTCATCGCCAATAAGTTACATCTCTCCGTTACGCGAACGTGCGTTCCCGATCGACATACGATCGATCCCCGTTCTGTTCCCGTTCAACGTGTGTTACGCGAACGTGCGTTCCCGATCGACATACGATCGATCCCCGTTCCGTTCCCGTTCAACGTACGTTACGCAAACGTGTGTTCCCGATCGACATACGATCGATCCCCGTTCTGTTCCCGTTCAACGTGTGTTACGCGAACGTGCGTTCCCGATCGACATACGATCGATCCCCGTTCCGTTCCCGTTCAACGTACGGTACGCGAACGTGTGTTCCCGATCGACATACGGTCGATCCTCGTTCCGTTCGATATACGTTCGGTCCCTGTTCCGTTTGATATACGATCGGTCCCTGTTCCGTCCCCGTTTAAAATCATTTGTTCATGGCTGAAAGGACAACATCTGAGAAGCGGCAATTAGTGAAGGAACTGCACGCTCCAGCGAGAAGAAATATTCCGCGAAGACGTGTCATAGTGCGCGGATACGACGACCTGTGGCAAGCTGATGTAGTTGAGATGCGTCCTTACACGCGATTCAACAGAGGCTACCACTACATACTTACTGTTATCGATGTGCTGAGCAAGCATGCATGGGCCGTACCGCTCAAGGCCAAGAGCGGATGCGAAGTTACTGCGGCAATCGCAAAGATAATTCGGGTCGATGGAAGATGTCCGAAAAATTTACAATCTGACAATGGAAAGGAATTTTACAATGCGAACGTGCAGAAACTCTTGAAGAAACATAACATTAACCATTATTCTACCTATTCCGTGATGAAGGCATCGGTCGTCGAACGATTCAATCGCACGCTAAAGAACGATATGTGGAAGATGTTTACATTAAATGGAAACTATAGATGGATCGACGCGCTGTCACGTCTCGTATCAGATTACAACGCGCGAAAGCATCGGACTATAGGTATGCGGTCCATCGACGTCACGCCCGCGATCGCCGGCAAACTGTTGACGACGGTGTACAGCCGCGTAAAGATTGCTGCACCCGCGCGATTCAGATTGGGTGACCCTGTACGCGTGAGTAAATTTAAGACCGTCTTTGAGAAAGGTTACACACCAAATTGGTCGACGGAGGTGTTTAAAATCGGCAAAGTGCAGAAAACTAATCCCGTGACGTATACAGGGTGCTCCGCAACATATTGAAGACCGGTCATGGGAAGGTAGGGGGACTAAGACAAACAGAAAAGTCCTATACTATTTTGCGCTTGGACGAATAGTTATAGAGATACTGAATTTTAAAAATCGCCGTATTAGTCCAACCCACTGGCAAATGCAAGCGCACGGTGAGTAGCGACCATCGCTGCGAACTTTGACGCAGCGCGGGAGACGTGCGAGTGGTCGCGTAGGCGGCGGACGGGCAGCGGCGCGCTTCGCCTCCCTACTCCTCGCCGCGCATCGCCATCCTACTCCTCGCTACACACCGCCTCGAGCGGGGCCGCTAAGCGGACGCATCTCACCGCGCGCTTACATTCGCCAGTAGGTTGGGCTAATATGTCGATTTTTAAAATTCAGTATCTCGATAACTATTCGTCCAAGCGCAAAATAGTACAGGACTTTTCTGTTTGTCTTAGTCCCCTCTATCTTTCCATGACCGGTCTTCAATATGTTGCGGAGCACCCTGTATCCTGTGGAAAAGGATACCGTCGCTGGAGGATTCTATGAACACGAGTTGCATTGCGTAGCTAATCGCGATGTGTACCTGGTTGAGAAAGTGTTGCGGAAAAGAGGAAATGAGGTTTACGTGAAATGGCTGGGACTTGATAAATCACATAATTCATGGATATGCACTGTTTGGGAAATTTCCTCCCTTTCGAATCTCGTCATGAGATCGAAAGATCGCGAAATCTCCGTGAGCGCTGCGAGTGGATCGGGGGGTGAGAAAGGACGTGCAACGTGGCGAGAATGACTACGATTCAGTTTCTTTAAAATGAGTTGAACGTTTAATTGTATTTACACTATGTACAGTTGAGATTTACCGAGGCGTATGATTGAGGTGAGCGAGTCCTTCGAGCTCTCTTGTTCGCACAAGACCGTCGGGGATGTGCCGCCCGTTGAGCCGGTGGCCGGCTACAAGCGAGCGTGCACGTACAGAATGAGAGGCCTTTGCGCAGAACACCGATGCACTCGATTTGAGCACTTAACTAATGAGTCTTTCCCGGGTGAGCACTAATTGTCAATGTGAGCTAACACGTGAGCGCGAGCGCGATACTTTTTGTCAGCCGATGCGAACTTTACCACAGCTTACAACGACGACTTTCTCACGACGACTGAACTCTCTGAGCTTGCGCGCAAGCCCTCGAGCCATGTTCACGGGCCCGACACGTGCTCGTTACCCGGTCGCGCGGTCGCGCGCGCGGTACCACTGGGCCTCGCGAATAACCGTGAGATGGCGAGGGCAGTACAATTGAGATAACTGGAGGAATCTCAAACATGCACGGATAAAGTTTTGTAAACATACATTTATTGTAATATCTATGTTGATTACATGTCTTATAAAAATAAATGATAAAATATTTACAATGGCATACATTTATTATACATTTATTATAATCGATGTGGATAAAATATATCTATGGTGATTAAAAAATAAAATGAATTTATAAAATATTTACAATGGTATTTTATAATGTCCCCATGGCAGCGTTTCTGTAGAATCGGGCACAACGTATCGCTTTTCATCATACGGACTCAGAGCGATTTTCGTTTCGGCTACAGTGTTCACCTCATGCAGCTTCGATCTTATACAAGTCTGTTGGCGAGTCATTCCTATCTCATCGTTGAGACACCGCGTGTAATCGTCGAACGTTATCGATCGCGCTACCACGTTACTCTTTATACCTTTAGCCTTCTTTGTATCTTTCTTACCGTCTACCCTCAACGCGTACATCTTCGCTCTGAGCCCGATGAATTCCGTCATTATCGCACCATTATTCTCATCCTTCATTAAACCTGGCACTTTTTTATTAGCATGTGGAATATCGTACGCGTTATCTGCCGGATAATCGCTCGTGTCAAATCTATGAATATCACGTTTCATCGTCTCGTACACGTCTTCGCACTGGATGTGATATACGAGGTGTGGCAATAAAGAAACCGGACTCATGATATAATCCTTTATTGAAAAAAATCAGACAATTGAAACGTTGTCCCCTTCAATGTAGTCTCCTCCCCGATCCCTACACCGCTCCATGCGAATTTTCCATTGTTGGAAGCAATGCTGTAGGTCTTCTTGTGTTATGCTGTTCAACAGTTGCGTCGCTTTTTCTTTCACTGCATCCACGGACTCGAACCTGGTTCCTTTGAGCGCAGATTTGACTTTCGGGAAGAGAAAAAAGTCGCATGGTGCTAGGTCCGGCGAGTACGGTGGATGTTCTATCACTGGAATGTTGTTTTTCGCCAAATATTTCTTCACAGATAGCACGGTGTGTGCCGGCGCGTTGTCCTGATGAAGAATCCATGAGGCATTCTTCCACATGTCTGGTCTCCTTCGTCGCACACGTTGACGGAGGGTTTTCAAAACATTTTTATAATAAATCTGATTGACAGTCTGACCTTCAGGCATCCAATCAATGTAGATAATCCCCCGGATATAAAAAAAAACAATCATCATCGCTTTAAATTTGGATTTGCTCATGCGCGCTTTCTTCATTCTAGGGGATTGGGATCTCTTCCAATGCATGGATTGTCGCTTAGTCTCTGGATCATATTGAAAAATCCAAGTTTCATCACACGTAATTACGTTTTGGAGGAAATCAGGATCATTTTCAATGTTTTCAAGAGCGTCAGCACAGCAATTCACTCGACGTTCCTTTTGCTCGGGTGTGAGAAGTTTTGGCACCATTTTAGCACACACTTTTTTCATGCCCAGATCGTCGTGCAAAATCTGTCTGACAGATTCTTTATTGATGTTAGTAATTTCAGAAATTGCTCGAATGCTCAGACGGCGGTTTCCTCGAACAATTCTACCGACTTTCTCCACATTCTCTTCAGTTTTCGAAGTGGAAGGACGGCCCGATTTTGGAACGTCCCCGACGTCTTCCCTAACCTCCTTAAACTTCTTAAACCACTCGAAAACTTGCGTGCGAGATAGACATTGCTCCCCATAAACTTCTGTCAATAAATTGTAAGTTTCTGTGGCGGATTTTCCCAGTTTGCGAGGAATTTGATGTTAATACGTTGTTCTACATTAGCACGTAACATGATTGCGACGGAGCTCAGATACACGATCCGCTTCTAACAACGGCTATGGCCAGACTAACCGCAGCGCATGCGTGAAACTTTTTGTGAGGGTAGAGGGGAGTCCACAAGTCAATGCCCCGCTCTCCTCTTCGTCATCGACGTGGCCGGAAATGAGGAAAAATCAATCCGGTTTCTTTATTGCCACACCTCGTATAAGGCTATCTGTGTCGGTGTACATAATTTTACATCTGTCGCGATATAAAGGTAACATGTACTCGTGATGAAATTCGTACAAACAGACTTTAGATATGTTGAGAATGCACATACCTACGTAGATCGGCTTGTCGAATTTCACCTCGAGTTTGCGCAATTCAACGGCTATCAGATTTTCCGAAAAGATGCTTCGGCTATGGAAATTTGGTTTTGCGACCATTGCCTCCGCGCCGTATCGTCCTTCCCATTTAGTTATTAATTTTACATTGACGCGATTTCGTACATTTTCCATAGTTTTGCCGAATACCGCGTTGTTCATCAATTTATACAAATTTTTCTCAAAATTGTTCTTGGCGAGCGTTCTAAATTGCGTATTTAGTTCAATATAATCGCGAAACCATGCGGATTGCGCGAATTGTAGTACGCGATGTATATTTGTGACGCGAAGGCCTTGACGCGTACATTGCTGCAGGTTACGATAGTGAATGACGTAACGCTTCTTGCAATATAGAGTCGCCAGAAGTTTTGCCTGCCGCTTGCCAGGCGGCTTATCGTCGAACAGAACGGTAGGTCAGTGTGCTCGTCGTGTATACTTTGTGGGTACTCGAGATCAACCTCGAGAATGTAACCCGTGGGCGAGTCCGAGGCGATCGCACTAAAGTCAAAATCTGCAACATCGTCGACCCATCGAAATTTGGCGTATGGCAACGGTTGACACATTGCCCATCCGTATAGATTATTTACGTCAAAGTACATCAAGTATGAGGAAGCTTTCGATGGATCATACGAGTGCATATATTTGTTGTTAGCCTGCGCATATCTACTGGAGCATTGACTCAGACCGCCACGTATACCGCGCTCGATAAACATGACCATATCAATGTCCGTGAGGAGTTCGAAATTTATACGCGTATGTTTAAGCATGGCGTCCCACGTGAATCCTGGTAATGTGTAATAATACGCGGGATCGAGACCATAACTCTCGATACACTTATCTCGGAAATTTTCAAAAATGTCAGCCAACAACATATCTATTTTCAAATACAGGTCGCTGTACTCGCCCAAGGATTGAATGGCAAACCGTCGCCAGACGTTTGCAGCGTGTACGTAATCGTTCTCGGACACAGTGTCACCGGTCAAGGAACTGTAAAATGATTCGCGCGGTGGTAAACACGTGTCCTCCAACTTTTCGATGCAATCAACATACTCGTACGGAAAGACACCCTTTCGCGTCAATAAATTGAAATCTTCCACCGATAACTTTGAAAAATTTGAACGTATAATTTTCAAATTATCCATGCTGAGAAGAGACGCTAGTTTGTCGAGACTGGCAGTTAAAAATTTGTATGAATCGATGAATCGCAATTTCATACAATTTCGCCAATCTGATTTTTCAGCGGTGCGTGTGACATGTTTGGTGAAGGAAATGTATTTTTCCTTCGTTATTGGAAGCAATTCTACATGTCCTTTGTACGCTGTAGCTATTTCTTTGATAATGAAATGCGAATCGTAACCTGATAAATTGTGGAAGACCACAGGAATACAATATAAATTTTTATAATTTAAATTACAATTCGAATGCGCGGGACCTCTATATCTTCCGGTCAAATGGCAATGATCGCGTACTCTATCATCACCCAGTGCGAACGGTTTTTGACATATGTGGCAATGTGGCAATGTGTCGCGTTACGGTATGCCCCCCACTGTTCCTTCGACAAATTTTCCATAGGGACATTTGTGGATAATTTTTCTTTTACGGGTTGTGATAACACTTTGAGTTGCTCGACGAACCACGTGATGCAATCTTTATCGCGACGAGATTGGTATGTGGACAATGAATCATCGTACGAGCAATGCACGTAATATCCGACGCTGAATACCTCATGATGCTGATACGTATATGAAGACGTTATCGAATCCTTGTCAATCTTCTCCAGAGTGCACTCCAAGTCGGCGTATACGACAAACGGTGCACGTTCCTTACAGTTACC